GCTTGTCTCTCGGAGCACGCTGGCATCAACCACTCTTGCCTACGCCCCGCCTCCCGCTCCATGGACCCCTGGCGTTTTAGAGGAGGCACTGAAGGCAGGTGTAGTGGTTCATACCTGTAGTCCCAGCACTTACAGTCTGAAGCAGGAGGATTGTGAGTTCCAGGTAAGCCTGGGCGATATAACCAGACCTCTTCTGGAAAAAAATAAAAGATGACATGGCCGGCCTGGCTGCTTGTGATGGAAATGCCTGTGTCTGAACAACAGCTTCCTCAAGGACTTTTCCCCCACCGAGACAGGGTTTCAATGTGTAGTGTAGGCCTGGCTCTCACTTCGTAGACCAGGCTGGCTTCGAACTCACAGAGATCCACCTGCCTCTGTCTCCCGAGTGCTGGGGTTAAAGGTGTGCTGCCTCAGAGACTCTTACTTGGTGTCTGTTGAATACTTGAAAGTTTGCAGCTGAGCAAGGTGTAGGTTAAGCCAAAGCAAACAAACATCAATTAGGACGTGTCTACCTGAAGTTTGGCTTACTGATCAAGAGGGTTAGGGCGATGCACAGCGGCCTGGGTGGAGTACTGTTTTCTGAGTGACGTGTGGAGTGTTTTCCTAGTAGTGCGTGGAATGTGTCTATGTAGCATATCATCCCCGTGAATGTCACTCCCTGTGACCACAGAGCCGAATCTTGTGGAGGCAGGGGAAGTGGAAGTTCCAGAGAGTAAGTGGTAACATGCATTGCATTCAAACAGTCTTGGATTCTTTTCCCACCCTTCTCCACTTCATTCACTCCCCCAGGAAGTGATCCATGTAAGGAGAGGAAAACAAGGGTTTAGCCAGTTCCTGTGTGTGTGTGTGTGTGTGTGTGTGTGTGTGTGTGTGTGTGTGTGTGTGTGTGTGTGTGTGCAGCTGTGGCTCCTGGAATCCCCTTGGGTTCTGCTCCCCCCCCCACCGCGCTGCATCAGGTGACCTCTACCCACGTGGCTTGGCTGTCACCATGGAACCCCTTGCTCCCACCCCTTTGCTCCAAGCTCACACTCACCCTCGGGTACCACGTCACTGGAGAAGCGGCTGCCTCTCCTTTCCATTTCTCTGTGCCTTCTGGGTATCAATTTTTGTTGTGTTTTGGGGTTTGTGTGTGTGTTTGAGACAGAGATCCCATGTAGCCAAGGATGGCCTCAACTCACTTTGTGGTGGGGACTGTCCTTGGACTTGTCCTGCTCCTTCATACTTTCACTTCTCAAGTGTCGGGGTGACAGGTCGGGGTGACTGCACCCAGCTCCTCGCTCAGAATGTCGGTGTTGCCCACTCCAGTCCATGCTGCCTGTCTGGGCTCTGGGCTCGAGGGTTTGGAGATAACAAAGGTGACGGTGTATCCAAACCTACACCACAGTTGATGGAGCTCAGGACATCCAAACCTACACCACAGTTGATGGAGCTCAGGACATCCAAACCTACACCACAGTTGATGGAGCTGAGTATAAACACCACCATGACGGCCATAGAGTCATTTCCTGGTCGGGTCTGGTTGTTCTGTGTGTATCTTCGGTCATCTTCGTGACTGCCTTATGAAGTAGGGCCTTGTATCCACTTCGCAGAGAAGGATGCTGCCAGTGGTTAGGGTCTGGGCTGGGTATTTCCAGCTTCTTGGTGTCTTATTTGAGAATGAAGTAAAGTACAAGCCCACACAGACTGCAGAGTAGCCCAGAAATTCTATTTAAAGGAGAGCAGTAGAATAGGTTAGAATCCACTTCGAGAGAGCTGGGGTCCCAGGGATGTTAGGGCGTCCATTTACTAAGTTTAAGTGGAGGAGTTTGGAGGTGCGGTATGGGTGTTTCTCTATTTTGGTTGACAGGATTAGATTGGGTAGGCCACTGCTCATTTGTACACGTTCCTTACCATAATACATCTGAGTTTAATCCTATGCATGCTCAATAGTTCACAGGCACAAGATGGTAAAAAGGGGATTCACCCTAGAAGTTTCCTTTGAGGGCTTGGCCGCTTTATTGCACAGTCCCTCAAAAGCAGTCTAGGTCAAATGGGACCATTGGCCCTAGCTCCATAAAAACGGGGCATTATCATGGGGATGTTAGAGGGAGTCATTTATTTCTACTGTTTGAAGCTTGAAGAGAGTATGTGTATAGCCCAAGCCAGGGGGAGTCCCAAGTAACGAAGATATTCCTTATGCCTGCCTCGAGGGAGTAAAGACTCAGAAGTTACAGAGCCTGTCCTGTGCTCCATGAAAAAAAAAGCAAGAATGAGATGGGACCAATGCTAGGCAGAGCACTGTCTGTTCTTCTGGACTTTAGGGCAAGCCAGCATTTTAAGAAAAAAAAAGGGGGCCTCAAAGGCTGGGCATGGTGGTACACTCCTTAACCCCAGCATTGGAAGGCAAAGGCAGGCCAGCTTGATCTACATAATACGTTCCAGGTCAGCCGGGGCTACCTATGAGACCCTGTCTCAGAGAAGAGGAGGAGGAGGTGGCAGCGGCCTTGGGTTGTGGAGGAGGTGACTTGGGGACATCCTGTCCATGCTGAAGAACCTGAGCATCCTTTGCAGCCTTCTCCAAATCGAGCTTCACTGGAACCATGCTTTAGCCGAGGCCACAGGCACACCTGGGGGGGTTAGGAAGGCCACAGAGCAAGGGCCTGCTTCACCCCTGTTTCCAGAACTCCTGAACTGGGGTGGAGTCAGTTGTCTTGGAATGACATGCAATCCTGCTATATCTCACCACATCACCACATCCATAAGGCAAGCAATGCCAGTTTTATTTGTTGCTAATACTAGAACATGCTCTCTCAGATGTACAGGTGCATGCATTTCAGCTGTGGCTTGGGAAGATAGACCTCCTCACCCACTTTGGGTGTTGAACTACTATCAGTCGGCAGAAAAACAGCTGCATATTTTACGGTTTGTGTCAGTCACTTCTATGTCACGGTGACAAAATGTCTGTCACGACGTGTTTAAAGGTTGTTTTGTGCGTGGTTTCAGAGGTTTTGTTCATCCCAGTGGGGATGATGTGGTAAGCAGCTCATTCTCTGGGACTGAGCTACGAGATATGCCTGTAAATGCAACAGTGGTACACACGCTGTGGGGGTAACCCACTGCCTTCCGAGTGGGAAGAAACCAAGGTCCGCTACTGTAGATCCGCTCACCATCCCCAGAGGCAAACCTACTCTGACTGTTTTGCTAATAGGACTTAGTGTCAAACCGCCCTCTAAGTTCACATCTCCACCCACAGATTAGTGCAGCTCTTAGTCATCATCTGAGGAGCATCTTTATGTAGTGGACGGTGGTTAAGGCGGAAACTCACATCGGAACCCGGTAGAGAATAAGGATCTTCGGTGTGCGCAGTCACAAGTGGAGTGTCTGTACCGTTCCCTCTTCCTCCAAGGCTCAGGAAGCCTCTCAAAAGAGGGGGCAGGAAGATTGTAAGAGCCGTAGCTAGGGAGGACCGGAGCAAATTAGCATATTCTGGGCATAACAGGACGATGGGGTTCATCAAATCACAGCAACTGTGGCTGTCTACTCAAGGCCTGTACATGATCAAGCCAGTCCATACTCCAGCGTGGAGGCAGGAGACGCCTACAAGGCCAACCCTAGCTAATGAACTATTGTTAGGTGGTTGCTTCTGGGGGAGGGATAGTCAAGTTTTTGGTTTCATTTTTTAAGAGTGTGGGCAGGTTGACCATCCAATCATCCAGTGGATGGCCCCCTACCCAGGAGTATATGAGCAGCATAATTCAGTCATGAAGTTTGGAGGGGAGGCGTGGAGGGTGGATCTGGGGAAAACTGGGGGAAGGAGTCGGGGTTATAGGATAATATGTTGTATGCACACATGAAATTCTCAAAGAATAAAAAATGTAAAACTGTAATAACTAATGAGACTACTGGAAGCTGATAATTTACATCTAGGATAAAGTTAGCAACTTTTAAGTAGTTAACTAGACACAGATTAACAATTAATATCAAATACTATGAAAGCAAACCAACTAGATACCTTGAGAAAGGATTGTGTGTGTGTGTATTAAACCAATATTTGAGAAATTATATAACGTATTGTCAATCTAAGCTCTCTTTTTGAGACAGGGTCTTACGTAGCCCAAGCTAGCCTCAAACTGCTATTTAGCCGAGGATGTCTGTGAACTTCTGACCCTCCTGCCTCCACCTCCTGAGTGCCAGGAGTACAGACCTGTGCTGCCCCACTCAGTTTATCCCATTCTGGGGGTGGAGCTCGGGGCTTATGCATGCTAAGTAAGTACTCTGTCAATCAAGCTGTCTGTCTAACCCATTAATCTAATCTTCTTTTAGAGCTGTTTGGGGCTACTAACGTAACATCAAGCAAAAGGAATTATGTTAGTTTCAAGCGGTTTATTCTGTACGCAATGCTTGCCTCTCTGGGGGATGTGATTGAAATGAGTTTCCTGTTTAGAGCTGGAGACGCACAGTGCAATACAGTCCAGCAGCGGAGAATGCTGCTGGAGATGAGAGCCAAAGCTGGGCATGGGGCAAGCAGCTGTAATCCCAGTCATTGGGAGGTAAAGGTAGGGGGCTCAAGTTCAAGGCCAACATCTGCTACATGAGATCTTGTCCCACAGAGAGACGGGGAGGATGGGGGATGGGAAGGAGGCTACCAAAATGGCAAATCGTTTTTAAACACTCAAAATCTCAACAGTTTTGAAGTCAAATGTTCGGATTTGCTCTCCTGTCTCAGAATTCAGTCAAGGAGGTGTTCCACGCGTGGACCCAGCTCTCCTTCGGTCTCCGAATTGTGCTTCATTCACTGTGCGTTCGTCCTCCAGGGGGGTGTGCCGCAGTATGCAGGGGGAGCCATCATTTGCTTTCTCCTCCCTCCTCTGCCCTGCCTCAACAGGAAAGGTCATGGTTCCCAGACTTTTGTGTATACGAAAGCTGAGCAGCATTCGAACTCAGATCTTGCTTGGGGACACTCAGATTCCAGGGGCTGAGCGCCGGCCTCACATGCCAATTCTCTCCCTCTGCCCTGATAGTTTGTGAAGTTCGCCAACATTGAAGAGGACACCCCGTCGTATCACCGGAGCTATGACTTCTTTGTGTCCCGATTCAGTGAAATGTGCCACTCGAGCCATGATGACTTGGAAATCAAGACTAAGTGAGTAGCGGGAGGCGGGGGCCCTGCGGGGCTCCCAGCAGAATCATCCAGGGGCCTTGAAGGGCTTCGGCGCTGGCTGACCAGTCTGTCTTCCTTGACTCTCCTTCTGGCCTGCGGTTGCCAGGGATGGGTGGGCGTGAATCAGAATGGGGCTCTCCCGGCAGGTGGTTCTGAAGGAAAACTCTTTGGGGCCAGGAAATAGGGCAAAATACAAGATAACGGTGGTCCCCTGAGCTGAACTTGAGGACCAGGAAGAAAACACACCTGTGTAGCATACACACAAACCTTTCACGCACATTTTTAACAAAATGTGCATTTGCAGAAACAACCTACTTGCCAGTGTCTACACCCCTCCATAGAGTCCAAGTCCTCAGGCTGGCTCTCCCTCACGCCGTCTTCCGGGTCCTCCCACCCACTCCTCCTCCTTCTGCCATGCCGCCTAGGACACGCAGGACACTCCCGCCCCAGAACGTTTGCACAGTCTGCCATGTCGGAAGCTGCCTTCCGTGGGTCTCATAGCTCGCTGCCTCCCCTCTGCCGTGGCTTTGCTCACATCAGTGAAGTCCGCCTGGCTGTCCCCACACTCACCCCATTCCTTCTGTATCCTGCTCTGCCCGCCCCCCCCCCACCGTGGTTTGCATCCCCTTTAACAAGTTTCATCGCTCCCCTCTTACGTCTCTGACCCCTTGCCCGTGGGGCCCCACGAGCTCCCAAGCTACAGGAGGACAAGGGCCGCGCGTTGCTCATTAATGTATCCCAGTCAGGTCAAAGCCCATGAGGAGAAGCCTTTGTGAGCAGTTGCGTCCCTAGATCTTGAACTGTGCTCCTCTCCGGGCTGTAGAGATGCTCGCTCGGGGTGTGGAGCCGCCTCCGTCTCTTTCCGTACAGAATCCGAATGTCGGGCATCAAAGGCCTGCAAGGGGTCGTGAGGAAGACGGTGAATGATGAGCTGCAGGCCAACATCTGGGACCCACAGCACATGGACAAGATCGTCCCGTCGCTGCTCTTCAATCTGCAGCACGTGGAAGAGGCAGAGAGGTGAGTGGGGTGGGGGTGTGTGGGGGTTTCCCCTCTCCGAGCACCACTCCCATCCAGGCTGCGGGAACACGCCTAAGCTTGGGCTTCGTTCGGGAAGGGGAAAACCCAGCTCGGAGGCCGGGGGAACCCGGCTTTGTGGCTTGTTCTGCGAAGCGTGCAAGGGCTGGCTCCTTCCTTGGACGCTTTTGGAAATGGCTTCTGCCAGCCTCTGGACCCCTTCGGTTCCCAAATAAGGAAGCAGGAGCAGCAATGAGTCTGTGCCACCTGAGTATACGCGTTAAGCTGGTGAGGACACAAGCGACAGGTTACCCTTGTGCCCCTCCAGAAGCGGCGAGCTAAGGAGGTTTAAATGCCTTCCGTGGTTCCAAATGCTAGACTTCCTCGGACCTTCCTGTCTCCCTTCATGATGCTGCTTTAGACCTTAAAACATGACTGCTTGACCAGCCATGGCCACTGGAGCTGCAGATGCTGGATTCTAATCTCAGAGCCCCCCAAAGCATCAGACTCATAACGCTCCCTGACCCTTGCTTTCCGCTGTAGAATGGGATGGATGGAAAGGTTCCCTTTGCTGTCTGTCCCCCCCCCCCACCACCACCACCACCACACACACACACCTTGGCCTTGTGCTTAGATGCTTAGTCTTTGGGTCTGGGCTGTTAAACCAGCAGAGAGAAGCGTGCCCCCTGCTGGCTGTTTCTGATATCACAGCTCACACCCGTCTGGGGCTTTGGTCTCTTAGAAGGGGAGTTCTGTTCAGAGAAGGTACACTCTGATTTGCGTGTCATTAGGTCACGCCCTAGCCAATCACTGTTCCTTTCCTTTCGTCTCCCTCTTTCATCCTGTCTGCCTTTCCTCTTTTCGGACCCCTCCCAACCCTTAGCTATATATAGACCCTTGAGGTCTGCAGGCCTCCAACTCTGCAATCCAGCCCACCCTGAAGTGTTTCCATGAAAATAATTCTATTGTCCCCCCCCTCCCCCAATCTTCTACCCCCAGCCCCCTTACCCTGACTAATTGCTGACCTGGTGTAGCTTATCTCAAATTCCTGCTTGTCCCGGACAGAAACCCAAAGGTATACAATCCTGACTCCCAACTTCGCACCTCATCCTTTATCCACGTGGCTCTGTCTGTCTCCACAGCCGGTCTCCCTCGCCCCTCCAAGCACCAGAGAAGGAAAAGGAGAACCCAGCAGAGCTGGCTGAGAGGTGCCTGCGGGAGCTGCTGGGCCGGGCAGCCTTCGGCAATATCAAAAACGCCATCAAGCCTGTTCTCATGTGAGTTGAGTGTCCCGCCCCAGCCCGGAAATGTCCCACTGCCAGATGACTGGTCCAGGTCCCCCGGATCTCCTTGCCAACTGGTCCCCTCTGCCAATGTGGGAGGAAAAGGAGATGGCACTGTCACGCTGTGGTGAGGTCACCCCCTCTTTTGGTGTCTGCATACCCTGTATCACATAGCGAGGCTACCACAAGTGGCCACGCGCAGTTTGTGGTGATTAACAGGAGGGTACCCAAAACTGGACGAAGGTGCCAGCTTCTTCATTCCTTCCTTGCGTCAAGCTATGGACCCTCTACTGTAAGCCCTTCCGTGGTTGAGCACTGCCAGGGACTCTCAGGAGGTGTCACTGGCCCTCCGAGCTCATCCCGTCACCTTCACCCTCGTGTCTTCTCCCTCGTAGCCACCTGGACAACCATTCTCTTTGGGAACCCAAGGTGTTCGCCACCCGTTGCTTCAAAATCGTCATGTACTCAATTCAGGTACGGTAGCTTCCCTGATGCAGCTAGTGCCCC